TATAGGCAGCACATAACCACTGTGCTACAGGGCTGGTCTCCATTTCAGTGTTTTATATACACATCCCATGTCTTGAGGTTAAACTTTTATTAGAAAACATATCATTTATAACTACTACTTTATAATTTTTGTTTCCATCCAGAAAATATCCCTTTCCCCATCATCAAACATTAGCTTTGTATTTAGGTGTGCTTTTAATTGTTTAGACTTCTACTGTCCTGATGTCTCTCCCAAATTCTGTTGGCACTGGTAAGTTACCATTTCTAAAATCCATTCAGGTATACATCTTGTCCCAATATTACAAAGCAATAGGCACAAGAAATTCAAGTAAAATAACACAAAAACGACACCATCTTCTTGTTTTTAAAACCAGTTTTTAAATTATAAATACAACGCATGCTTAGCTTTTGAAAAATTCAAATATATGGAAGGGTATCAAGTGACAGTGGAAAATTCCTTTAGCTCACCTAGCTTCTAGAGCCAGAGAAGACAACTGCACAATCCAGTACAGAAGTCACTAGTTACATGTGGCCATTTCAGTTGAAACTAAGATTGCAAAGTTCAGTAGCTCGCACTTTTTCTATATTTCAATTGCTAAACCACTACGTGGGGATGGAGACGACCAAATTGCAAGTGCAAGCACAGAACATTTCCATCATCACAAGACATTCATGGATAGAGCTGCTCTGCAGTAACCAGCTAAGCACTTGCATGTGTATGCCTTTTTATTAGTTACGCATTATATGAAGTCCTTCTGTACTCTGGATACACGTTCTTTACCAGATAAGTGATTCTCAATAATTTCTCCTATTCTGTGGGTTGTTTTGCTTTTTTTCTTCCTTCCTTCCTTCCTTCCTTCCTTCCTTCCTTCCTTTCTTTCTTTTTCTTTTATTGCCAAAGGGTGTGAGTTTTCCAGGTGAAGAGAGAAGGCATGGCCCCCACTGGGGCATGGTTATGTCACACTCCTTTTTCTTCCATTTTGCAATCCCATCAGGATTTAGAGCACACATTTACATGTGCCTTGAATGTCTTTCAGGCTTCCAGGGCTGGGATTCCAACCATGATTGGCAACATGGAATCTGGCTTTCTACAAACACTTGAACTGTTGTGCTACAGGGCTGGGCCTCTTTTGATTTTCTTTCTTTTCTTCTTTTTTAAATAATTATTTTAATTAACTTTATTAGTTTATTTATTTTCATTTGACCAGAGAGGTACAGAGTGAGAGTGAGAGCAAGAGCAGCAGAGAGAGTGAGAGAGCGAGAGAGCGAGCGAGAGAGACAAAGAGAGAGGGAGAGAGGAAAAGTAAGAAAGCGAGCCACAAGGTCCAGGACTCACTACGGTTGGCCATGTGGGAATCCGGCACCCCTAACCACACCTCCCTCCGGCCCCAGACTCTCTTTTCATTTTCTTAATCATGTCCTTTAAGGCACAAAAGTTAATTTTAGGAGGTCAATTGTCTATATTTTATATATAAGAAACCATTGCATAGCCTAAGCTTACAAAAATCTACTTCTCCATTTTCTTCACAGTTTTAACTATTATATTAATTTTGAGTTAAACTTTGTATGTAGTATCAGGTGGGAATCCTTTTGCAGGTAGTTATCAGTGGTCTCAGTACCATTTGTTGAAAAGACTATTTCTCTATTGAACGGTATTGGTACCCTTGTCAGAAATCAACTAAACAGAAACGTATTGGTTTATTTCTAGATTCTCAGTTTGATTTCTTTGATCTATATGACTAGCCCTATGTACACTGTCTTGGGTATTGTAGCTTTGTAGTCAGTTTTGAAATTGGTAAAACTAAGTCTTCAAACTTTGTTTCTTTGCAAAACTGTTTTGGCTATTCTGGGTCCCTTGCATTTCCATACATATTTTGTCATTAGATTGCCAGTTTCTGCCAAAAATCCAGTTGGCATTCTGCTAGGAATTGTTTTGCATCTCTAGACCAATTTGGGCAGTGCTGCCATCTTAATGGCATCAGGTCTTCCGACCCATGAATATGAATGTCCTTCCACTTATTTGAATCTTCTGTAATCACTCTAAACACTTTTGCAGTTATATTTTATTTTTGATCATATTGTAAGTAGAATTTTCTCAACCTCATTTTCAGAATGTTCACTGCTAATACAGAAATAAAACTTATTTTTGTATATTAGTCTTGTATCCTGCAACCTGTTGAACTCATTATTAAATTAATTCCTTGGGATTTTCTATATGCAAAAATGTAAACTGTGTATAGTTTTACTTCTTTTTCAATATTGATGGCTTTTCCTTTTCTTGCCAAATTGTCTTGTACGATGCTGAGCAGGAGTGGTAAAAGTAAATATCCTTATTTCTGATCTTAAGGGGAAAGCATTCAGCAGTTGGCCACTATTAAGCATGATGTTAGGGGTGGTTTTTCTGCAGATGCTATGTTTATCGTGTTGAGGATGGTCTCTTGTATTCCTAGTTTGTTGAGTGTTTTGATCATAAAAGGAATTGGATTTTATCAGGTGCTTTTTCTGCATCTGTTATAACTATGTGGATTTTGTCATTTATCATGTGGTATAGTTCATCCTCATTACTCACGATTACAAAAATGTGAATTGACCAATTTGCTAAGATTTATTTATTACCCCAAATCCATACTTGTGGCACTTTTGTGGTCATTCTAGACATGTACATCGTGGTGAAAATCTGTTCCCAGCTGCGGTTGAACAAGGTGATGCTCTGCTGTATTGTGTCAGCTCTTGCAGAGAGATGACCAGAGAGGGGGCCAGCAGGTGGCATGGTGGTTGAGGTGCCGGACACTCCCACACGGCCAGCCATGGTTCGAGTCCCAGATCTGGTGGCTTGCTTTCTCACTCCCCTCGTCTGTCTATCTCTCTGGTCAAATTAAAGTGAATGAATACAATTAAATAAATGTTTTTTAAAAAAAGATATGACCAGAGAATGGTCATCAGTTCAATGCAGTGAAAGAAGGTTAGGCTCTCAGGTCAGTTGGATGGGGACTAAATTCTAATTCTGGCGCTTGTTAGTTGGGTGGACTTACACAACTTACACTTCCAAGCTTCACAGACCAGTCTAGGTTAGGATGACTTGCTTTTAGGATTCCAGCTCATAATCTATGTGAGATCTGTACGTGTATGAAACATATACGCTATCCCTCAGGGGCAATGGTTTAAAATTCACTAACTCGGTGTTTGTGAAGATTTTCATAGAACCTAACTACCATGAATGATGAGAATTGACTTTTTTTTTTTTTTTTTTTAAGAATCCTTTCCCTTTCTTTTTTTTTTTAGTTTAACTTTATTTATCTATTTTAATTTGGTACAATTTGACCAGACAGGAGCAGAGCAAGAGCGAGAAAGCAAGTCGCCAGGTCTGGGACTCAAACTGCGGTTGGCCATGTGGGAGTCCAGGGCCCTTAACCACCATGCCATCTGCCAGCTCTGAGAACTGACTTTTTATTAGCTTAAAAATTGGTTTTTGGATGTTACACCAACCTTGAATTTCTAGAATAAATCCCACTTGGTCATGGCATATAATCATTTTTATATGTTTCTGGATTCAGATTGTCAATATTCTGTTGATAATTTTGGTGTCTATATTCATCAGGGACACTGTCTGTAAGTTTTTTGCGATGCCTTTGTTTGGTTTCAGTATCATGCTAACACTGGCCTCATAGGATGAGGTGGGAAATGCTGTTTCTTCTGTTTTTGGGAAGAATCTGCAAAGAACTGGTGCTAATTTTAATGTCTGGTGGTAAAATTCAGCAGTGAAGAATTCTGGGCCTGGGATTTTCTTTTTGAGGCTTTAAAATGACTAATTTGCTTTTTTCCCTTATTATCAGTTGCCTTTTAAACCAGCTTTGAAGAGCCAGAGGAGATAAGAATATCATCTCCTCCAGTCAATAAGATTAAAGAAGAAAATACATCTTTTCAAGGAAGACTTTCTTTCCTTCCTTCCTTCCTTCTTCCTTCTTTACTTTTCTGAGAGATTTTTGCTATAGGACGCATACATTCGTCGGAGAGACAGAAAGTGAGAAATCACCTCCTTGGAGGATGGCTTCATTGCAATCCCTTCTCCTCCATTGTCCTCTTGGGATTTTGGACACACACGCACACATGCCCAGCGTGAGTTTGAAGTCACTGGTTCCGGGACTCGAACCATGGTCGACTATGTGGGAGTCCAGTGACGTAACCATTATGCCATCTGCTAGTACCCAAGGAAGACACTTTCAACGTTTGAAGATTCAGATAAGCAGCTACCAAAATTACCCAATTATATCTCGATTATTAACCACTGTTGTCCAACACAAACATTTTATCACCTCTCATGTGGTTTTGTAACCTTATAAACAAGAGACCTCAGCCTGTTCTAAATAAGATTTATATACAAACCTCTTCACTGACACTTGCAGCAAAGTCTTATAATCACAAACTGAAGTTTGTACATTCCTTGAGATAATATACAGATATGTGTGTCTATGTATAATATATATCTATCTACAAAAATATACCTGTCTCAGAACCTGTCAGGCAGACAGTGTGTAGTGGAAAAACCACCGGAATAGAATTCTGGAGGTCTCTGCTTGGGTACTGTCTCTTAGACAAGATGCCTCAATTTTTTTCTCCCACTGAAAAAAATTAGGTTAAGACTGATGATCAACAAGGTTCTTTCTGGTGCTAAAAATACAGACTTTTTTTCTGCAATAATATGATTCCCATTGCTTTTACTTCAGAGTGGTCAGTTTGTACATTCCTTGAGATAATATACAGATATGTGTGTCCATGTATAATATCTATCTATCTACAAAAATATACCTGTCTCAGAACCTGTCAGGCAGACAGTGTGTAGTGGAAAAACCACCGGAATAGAATTCTGGAGGTCTCTGCTTGGGTACTGTCTCTTAGACAAGATGCCTCAATTTTTTTCTCCCACTGAAAAAAATTAGGTTAAGACTGATGATCAACAAGGTTCTTTCTGGTGCTAAAAATACAGACTTTTTTCTGCAATAATATGATTCCCATTGCTTTTACTTCAGAGTGGTCAAAATAAAAATATTTTTGTTATGTACATATACAGCACACACTCAACTTCATTCTTACAGAACAAGTCAACCAACTCACAAAACCTTAAAAGAAAAAGAAAAGGCTGTGATTAAATAATTCACTTGCAACATCTCAAAGTCCTGAGTTTGCTATGAGACGGCTGTTACTAATTTCCTCTCTGATACACATGTATTTGCTTTTTCACAATGCCTCACTTCACATAAGTACTATTTCACCTCAGGCATGTAGTAACTGTGCTAACTTTCAAAAACAAGGTCATCATTTCTCAGAAATCCTGAGCCGGTCAGAGAAACTGAATGGTATCTCGTCGGTTGTCTCTACTGGTATGTTAGTTCGACTAAACTGGCAGGAGTAATGGTGGGAATGAAAAGTCGACACGAATGCGCCTGGAGTCCGGCTGCACTGACAGCTATCTGACGGCAGAACGCCCGAGTTACCGAGATGAGAATGGTACATGCTGTGGAAGGAGTCTGGAGATGAACGATAATGCCCTGCTCCCGAGGGGGACGCGGTGCTCTGGAAAGGGCCATTAGACATAACGCAAGTCTGAAAGCAAGTCTTCCTGCCCAAACCTCGATGAATGTCTAATTTAGCAATGAGAGGTTTCCCGACATTCACCTCCTGCTTTTCCTCAACAGTATCTTCCAGTCCTGAGTACTGATACGACAAACACACTGTGAAGATTAGATGTTCCTGAGAAAGAAAAGATATGAGGATATTTTTACCCATGGAGAAAATTTATCAAGCTTAAAACATGGTAATCTTATCTCATATGAACACACACAAAACGACTCATTCACCTCCCTTCCCCTTTTCCCGGGCTTCATAGCCTTAAGGAATCCCTTACATCATCCCTAAGCTGAGAGAGGCCAGCTATCATGTTCATTTTACTGAGTCATCAGGACAGTCATGATGTCATTTGTATAGGAAAGTATGTCCCGACTTTCCTGATGACCTAATAGTTAGGATTTTGTAATAGTTCTTCCTATTAAAAGTAGTCAAACCTCAGAGATCTTACATTTCTGATGGATAGTAAAGATGAAGTTTTCTAAATCGTGGGCTTTAGGAAGCTTATTCTTCCCTATTATTGGAGATGGAAAATTACCTCTTAATGAAAAGATAACTTGGCTTTACACATAGGTCAAAAGTTTAAGATGTTTTTAAAGTGTTGTGAAATAATAATCCACAACCTAGGTGGAAAAATATAGCCAAGTCAGATCACGGGCGAAGTTTCTAAGTTACGAGGAGACTTGGAGCAGATCGGCCGAGAATGGGGTGGTAACAGTTTTATGCCTGTGGTCCTTGCATTTCTGTCAACAGCGCTCATTCCATTCCCTGAGTTTTGGCTCATATGTTCTATGTTATGCAACTCTGAATAAATCAAATGCTTAGTCTTTGCAAGAATATGCTTTTGTTTGAAAGCTCAACTATATAGAGGTAGTTTCTCATTTGTAAACAAGGCGACTAGAAGTGAAATACGCATTGAAAAGAAATTGAATCTGAGTTGCTGTATGTGTTATAGAGAGTCACAGAACAAGAAAATGATTATTAAAAAGTGCAAAGATATTTAAAAGGAGAATATGATTTATGGTCCTAACTTTTTGACAGTGTGGAGGGTAAGCACATATACTCTCACACAAAAGTTCACTAATGGTCAGATTGTACTATGAAAAGGGTCCCTGATAATATGCACTGTAGATGGGTTACCTCTACCTCAATTTTTTTTTTTAATTGTCAGAGGGTATGTGCACTTGCTGTAGAGAGAGAGAGAGCGAGCGAGCGAGCGAGCAAGCGAGCACACCCCTCAATAGGGGTGTAGTCACAGGGGTGTGGTCACACTGCAATCCCTTCTCTTCCATTTCTCCATCCTGTTGGCATTTTGGGCACACATGTACATGCATGCAGTGTGTTTTCAAGCCACTAGGGCTGGAATTTGAACTGTGACGGGCTATGTATGGTCTGGCTCCCTTAACTACTAGGCTACAGGGCTGGCCTTCTTCCTCAATTAAATACAGCACATCTATGGACTATACCAAAATGAAGGATCAGTTTTGTAAAGTTTTTTGTTATAAATAGGAACAGCATTAACCTTTAATTTTTGCAGTGAACTCAGTCTGGTATAGAGACAATGTTTGGGAAGATCTTTCGATACTAAATAGCTACCCGTTTCTTCAGGAGTCCCTTTATTTGCATCTTTTGGGTCAATGTCTAGGTCCTGTAAAAAACAAAATAGAACAGTGACTGTTAATAATAAAATTGATGAAAGTACTTTGTCAAAAAAATCAGTTGGCTATGTGTTTTGGGGTATATTTCCAGGGGTTCTATTCTGTTCCATTGGCCTACATGCCTGTTTTTGTGCCAGTACCATGCTGTTTTGATGATCACAGCTTTATAATATATTATAGGGTCAGGGAGTGAGGTGCCTCTAATCCACTCTTCTTGTGCAGTACTGCTTTGGCAATACCTGTTTTTTTTTTTTATGATTCCAGATAAATTCTATGATTGCTTTTTCTAAAATTGTGAAGTATATCCCTGGTAATTTGATTGAGATTACATTAATTATGAGGATTAATTTGGGTAGAATTGACATCTTGATTATATTCAAACTCTTCTAATCCAAGAACATGGGATGTCTTTTCACCTTTTTTTTTAGAATTATTTTATTTAACTTTATTTATTATTATTATCATTATTATTTTCCAGTTTGATCAGAGAGAGAGACTGAGCGAGAAAGTGAGAAAGCAAGCCACCAAGTCCGAGACTTGAACCGTGGTCGGCCATGTGGGAGTCCAGCACCCCATCCACCATGCCACCTGCCAGCCCCTCTTTTCACTTTTTTATGTCATTTTCAAAATTTTAAGATTTTTCATCATTTCCTTGTAGAGATCTTTGATGTCTTTGGTTAGATTTATTCCTAGGTGCCTTATAGTTTTTGTGGTTATTGTTAATGCACAATATAGTCTGTGACATAAATCATCCTGACAGATACTACTCTCTTATGAATTTGGACCTGAGCAGGTAATCCCTTATTTATGACTAAAGTAACAATGAAAACAACACATTATGGATGCACTAGGAATTTTAAGTTCTGCATTAATACATTAAAAAACATACAGAAAATTCTGAAAGGACAGTTTCCTTTTAAACTATCCACAGAAACACTTCTTAATCTATCTGGTTTCCTTGGAAGTAGAGAGAACCTCATTAATGTTTGACTTCTGGATTCTTTTGTTTTTCATCACTTTTGGGAAGGTGCAAGGGGATTTATGTGATTAGAATGTTTAAGAAGAATAAATGGATATCCCAAAGTCATCAGCCCTTCCTTTTTCTTATTTATTTATTTATTTATTTTTTGAGATTTTTGCTATAGGGCATGGTTGTTTGCTGGAGAGACAGAGAGAATGAAAGCAAGACATCAACCCTCCCCAGTGGGGGATGGCCACACTGCAATCCCTTCTCCTCCATTTTCTTCTTGTGATTTTAGGCACTCAGGCACACATGCCCAGTGTGTGTATGAAGTCACCAGGTCTTGGACTTGAACCATGTTCAACTACGTGAGAGTATAGTGACATAACCATTACGTCATCTGCTGGTCCCTTTCTTCTTCTTTTTTGAAAGAATTATCTTATTTATTATTATTATTTTAATTTGACCAGAGAGAAGCATAGAGAGAGAGGGAAAGTGAGAAAGTAAACCACTAGGTCTGGGACTCAAATCATGGTCAGCCACATGGGAGTCCAGTGCCTTAGCCACCACACCACCTGCTGGCCCTTCTTCTTTTTTTTTTTTATAAAAAAGAATTATTTATTTTATTTATTCATTCATTTTATTTTAATTTGACTAGAGAGAGACAGAGAGAAAGAGAAGGAAAGTGAGAAAGCAAGCCACCAGGTCTGGGACTTGAACCATGGTTGGTCATGTGGAAGTGTCCAGTGCCTTAACCACCACGCCACATGCTGGCCCCCCCTTCTTCTTTCTTTTTTAAAAATATTTAATTTTTCTCAAGCAAAGCTTACCTCCACCTGTAGTATCCCCTCTCTCCCAGTCAGGAAAGTGAGGCAGGGCTGTCCATCAGCCCCCAGCCCCAGTCCCAGGCCCAGCTCCAACCTGAGCCTCCACCCTTCCACCAGAAAGGTAGGTCTTCCCCCCCCCTTCTATCTTTTGCTAATTCTTTACTTCTCCTCCCCACATAGGGCAGCTCTCAGCTCTCAAGCAGAGCCCACTTACATTTGCAGTCCCCTGCCGACTTGGTGTGCTGTGCTTTCTGTTTTCCCTCTTTTACCTCCTTTTTTCTTTCCCTTTTCATTGTCATATTTTCCTCATCTTCCATACCCCTCTGGGGTATGGAATTCTAAAATTATAGTTTTTAAACATCTTAGCATAGTGAGGCTCCCAGGGATCCTCACTCTATACTGAACCACCTGCAAAAAAGGAGAAGCTGCTCTTCAAAAACCTGAATAGAAAACTCCTCCCATGGGGACCACATTGCTAACCACAACAGAAGAGAGACTTTGGCACAGAAGCAATACACAGCAAAAGGGAAGCAAACTAGTTCCCAGTGGCAGAAACATTCTCCAAAAAGGTATCCAGAAGTGAATACATCACCCAATAGCTAGAAGTCACAAAAGAGCCTCAAGTTTGAAAAAACCAGAAAATATGTATTCATCAAGAGAACACAATAACTGTCCTCCATCTCTTAGAAAACATAAGAAGTTACCAAAATGTCAGAGAAAGAAATTAGAATATTCTTTTTTTTTGGAGAGGTTTTTGCTATAGGGCACGTGCGCTCGCCAGACAGAGACAGACAGAGAGACAGAAAGTGAGAAATCACTCCCCAGGGGGGATGGCAACGTTGCAATCCCTTCTCCTCCATTCTCCTCTTGGGATCTTGGGCACGCACGCACACACGCCCGGCCTGAGTTTAAGCCACCGGGTCTGGGACACAAACCGCGGTCAACTACATGGGAGTCCAGCAACATAGCCATTACACTAACTGCTGGTCCCAAATTAGAATATTCTTAATGACAAAACTCTATGAGTTGGAACAGAAAAGGAGACAATGACTCCAGGAGATAAGGAAATCCTTCCACAATTTGAAAGAAGAAATAGACACCATAAGACAGAATCAAATGGAACTATTAGAGATGAAGACTCTAACACAGGAAATCAAAACCTCTCTTGAAAGTATTAAAAGTCAACAGACCATGCTGAAGCTCGAATCTCAGATGTTGAAGACAAAACCTCTGACCTAGAAAAAAACTACCAAAAAGAGAAAATAACAACAAGAAATGAGGATAATATACGAGAAATATTAGATTCCATTAAATGTCCAAACATCCAAATAATTGGTATCCCAGAAGGTGAAGAAACTAATAAGGGCATTGAAAATCTATCCCATGAAATCCTGGAAGAAAACTTTCCAAGTTTAGATAAGCACTCAAACATTCAGACCCATGAAATACAAAGGACCCCAAATACAATCAACCCAAGAAAATCCTCTCCATGGCACATCTTCGACTGGCCAAAACCAAAGATAAACACAAGCTACTAAAACTGGCAAGAGAGAAACATCAAGTGACTTACAGAGGTCATCCCATCAGGCTAACACTGGACCTTTCAACAGAAACAATGCAAGCAAGGGAAGAATGGAAAGACATATTAAAAGTGCTAAGAGAGAAACAAATTCAACCAAGATTATTATATCCAGCAAGATTATCCTTCATTTGGGAAAAAAGGATTAAAATCTTCTCAGAAAAACAAAGCCTGAAAGAATGTGTCAATATCAGACCAGCTTTTCAAGAAACTCTGAAGAATGTCCTGCTCGGGAACCAGCTGGTAGCGTAATGGCTATGTCGCTGGACTCCCACGTAGTCGACCGTGGTTCGTGTCCCAGACCCGGTGGCTTAAAACTCACGCCGGGCGCGTGTGCGTGTGCGCCCAATATCCTGAAAGAAGAATGGAGGAGAAGGGACTGCGGCGTGACCATCCCCCCTGGGGGGTGATTTCTCGCTTTCTGTCTTTATGTCTCTCTCTGTCTGTCTGACGAGCGCACACGCCCTATAGTGAAAACCTCTCCAAAAAAAAAAAAAAAGATGGCAATTGGAGGCAATAGTGACTAGTCAGGATAAGGGGGTCAAATAGTGCATAAGTATAGAACAGAAATTTAGGAATATTTAGATTCCAGTGCCTTTAACTACCATGTCCCCACTTTCTTCCTTTAAAGTCAAGCCACTGGCCAAGAGAAAGAGGTGCTCTTCTTTAGAGAAAACCCACAGGCTCCAGCCAGTTTAATACCCAGGGAGGCCTGGCCTGCTACGGGGCCACCATGACTGGGGGCAGACCAGTCTAATTCTGGGGTTGCTTACATACAAAGAAATGTCCTCACTAAAGTCTATCAGTAATAAAAGTGATATCATTGGGGCTGTAGGGTGGCGTAGGACACAACACTCTGAAGCTGACCCACATGGGAGGTTGCAGGTTCATATCTGGAGACCTCTCTGAATCTGCTGGGTGTGCGTGTACCCATGATCCAGGACGGGGAGTAAACTGTGGCATAAAGATCCTGTCAGAGATGCTGAGTCTCTGTTTCTTTCTCTCACTCTGGAATAAAGAAAAAGAGATGCTTTGGATTTCTGCTCATCCTATTCCTTGCTTACGTACCAACATGTCACACCTGTGTGAAAGAAAGGCACTGCATCAAACAAATATCTGTGTTTGGAAAGATACTACCATAACTTGACAAACAGGACCTATACGGTTGCAATAACTTCCACTTGAAATAATAATTTTTAAAAGGAAACTATTCTTTTTTTTTTTTTTTTAGAGGTTTTTGCTATAGGGCGCGTGCGCTCGCCAGATAAACAGAGAGAGACATAGAGACAGAAAGCGAGAAATCACCTCCCGGGGGGGGATGGTCACGCCGCAATCCCTTCTCCTCCATTCTCCTCTCAGGATCTTGGGCACGCATGCACACGTGCCCAGCGTGAGCTTTAAGCCACCAGGTCTGGGGCACGAACTGCGGATGACTACATGGGAGTCCACCAACATAGCCATTATGCTAACTGCTGGTCCCCAAGGAAACTATTCTTGACACAGATAAATAATACATTTTCTTTCTTTCTTTCTTTTTTTTTTTTGGAGAGGTTTTCACTATAGGGCTCATATGATCACCAGAAAGACAGAGAGAGACAGAGAGACAGAGACAGAAAGCGAGAAATCATCCCCCAGGGGGGATGGCCACGCCACAATCCCTTCTCCTCCATTCTCCTTGGGATCTTGGGCACGCATGCACATGCGCCTGGAGTGAGTTTAAGCCACTGGGTCTGGGACTCGAACCGCAGTCGACTACATGGGAGTTCAGTGACATAGCCATTATGCTAATTGCTGGTCCCTACATTTTATTTCTTTGCATTTGATATCCTATTTAGGATATGACAAACTAAAAGCATCCTTTCTGAGTGAACTTTATACATTTCTCAATTTGACAAACAAGGTATTTTGGCAACTACTAAATATTATGACCAATGTTAACAAATTGCAAATAAATAAACATGTACGTACACTTAAATAAATTTATTTCCCATCATCTTTAAGTTTTTTTCATTTTCTTAAAATGTGCTACAGGGTGTGTGCACTTGCCTAAGAGAAAGAAACAGAGAGAGGGGGAGAAAGCACCCCCTGACTGGGTTTGCTAACGCCACAATCCCTTCTCCTCCATTCTTCCAACCTGTGGAGATTTGGGGTACACGTGCATTTGTGTATGGTATGTTTTTCAAGCTGCCAGGGCTGGGATTTAAACTGTGTGGTCACTCATGGGGCATCTGGTTCCCTTAACCATTAGGCCATAGGGCTGGCCCCTAATAAGTGAGACTATATCATTTTATATATGTATTAAAAAAAAAAAACAAAAACTGGGAACCAGCAGTTAGCGTAATGGCTATGTCGCTGGACTCCCACGTAGTCGACCGCGGTTCATGTCCCGGACCCGGTGGCTTAGAACTCACGCCGGGCGCGTGTGCGTGCGTGCCCAAGATCCCGAGAGGAGAATGGAGGAGAAGGGATTGCGGCGTGACCAGCCCCCCTGGGGGGTGATTTCTCGCTTTCTGTCTCTATGTCTCTCTCTGTCTGTCTGGCGAGCGCACGCGCCCTATAGCGAAAATCTCTCAAAAAAAAAAAAAAAAAAAGACTATTTAACTTTATTTATTTATTTATTTTAATTTGACCAGAGAGGGACAAAGTGAGAGAGAAAGCGAGAAAGTAAGACAGCAAGTGGACAGGTCCAGGACTCAGGCTGGCCATGTGGGAGTCCAGCACCCTTGACCACCATACCACCTGCTGGCCCTTATTATTATATATTAAATAAAATTGAAAAAAAAAAAGAGACTTACAAGTGGAAAATCGGTAACATAGGCATCGCACATGATTATCTCAGGTGGTCTGTGGACGATACTTGTGTAGATTATCATGACATTGGAAAACTCAGCCGCAAATCCCAACTGAATCTGAACACCACATTGAAATTTAAGACACATGCTTTCCGGAAGTTCTGAAAAAAGAACAATAAGAACAACTTACAACATTATTTAAAGAATGCCTGGTAAGCTTTCTGTTGATAAATAGCAAATATATTTTATGGGGCAGAAAATGGTTAAAGACCTTTCTTTTGCTTAAACGCATTATATAACCAATATCATATTGTTTAAACGCATAGACATACACACATAATTTTTAAAAAACCCTCAGGATTCTGCTGGCCACACAAATCATATCTATTGTCTTACAATGATTGCCATCTGCATCTGTAATTTTTATAGTGGTAATCAAAAGTATATATTAATTGCAGATGTATTTTCACTGTTGCCTTAATCTCCATGATGAATTTAAATAAAACATACTATCACTGGCCACACCACTGATTATTATCTGTAACTATTCTGCTACGCTTGAACGTCTTTTTTCTAGGTTTTGTTTTTCTATCATATGCTTGATCTTAAACAAAAGGCCAAAAAGTGATTAATGTTTTTCTATCATAACTAATATTTCTTATGTGCATTCGAAGCTTTAGGATTGTTAGATATCTAACAGCTCCTCACAACAGGACAAACCACCTTCATCTTACATGGAATATAAATATACTACTTCTTGCTCTGAGGGAAGCCAGCTGCCATGCTGTAAGCTCCCTTGGGGAGGCGATATGTCAAAGGACTGAGGTTTCTGGCTGACAGCCGAGGTAGACATAAGCCCAGCCATCAGCGACACAGGTGAACGTGGGAGCAGACCACACTGTGCTGAGCCATGAGATGACTGCAGTCCTAAGAGACCCTGAGCTGGGGGCATCCAGCTGAGCGGCACTGAGATTCCCACCCCAGAGCACCTGTGAGATAGCAAATGTGTGTTGTTTTCCACCCTTAAAGTGTGTGTACTGGTTTCACCATAACATTTCCAAAATAAGGTATTCATTTTCAAGATGCTATTTGATATAATTAAAAAAAGAAAGTTTTCACTTTTCTTTAATGATCTAAATTTACCGTTTTCTATATGTACCTCAAGTTTTAACATGTTTCCAACTATGTGGATTACTGAACTTGAATCACTTGCTTATTTATTGTGGGGAAGAATCTTAGTGTTTTTCTATTCCTATTTTTAATTTCAATTGCCAGAGGGCACATGTGCTTGCTAGAGAGAGACAGAGACAGCACCCCTCCAATGAGTATGGTTACACTCCAATCCCTTGTCCTCCATTTTTCTATCTGTTGGGATTTGGGGCACACAAGCACATGTGCCTGAAGAGTTTTGTTGTTTGTCTGTTTTTAGGTTTTTGCCATAGGGTGAGAACGCTTGCTAGAGAGACGAAGAAAGGGAAAATGAGAAATCACCCGCTGGGAGGAATGGTCACACTACAACCCCTTCTTCTCTCGGGATTTTGGGCATGCATGCACCGGTCCCCAGTGAGATTTTCAAGCTGCTGGGTCCAGAACTCGAAACACGGTGGCCACATGGGAATCCAGCGCCTTAACCAACCATGCTGCCTGGGCTCATCCTGTAGTGTTTTTCAAGCCTCTTGGGCCGAGGTTGGAACGTCAGTAAGTCATGTGGAATCCAGCTTCCTTAGCTACTAGGCTATGGTGTTGGCCCTCTCTTACCATTTTATATGAACTCTTTATTACATATAGAAAAATTTACCTATTAAATTTGTTATGAACACTTTCTGTCTGACCTTTTAGTTTCACTTCATAAAAGGCTTTTCTTGTCACTGTTCTTTACTACTCTAATTTTCTTACTTTTTTTAAAGAGATTTTTGCTATAGGGTGCAAGCACTTGCTGGACAAAGAGACCGAGAGACAGAAGGCAAGAAATCATCCCCTCAGGGGGAGATGGCCATGCTTGAATCCCCTCTCCTCCATGCTCCTCTCAGGATTTTGGGTACACATGCAGATGTGCCCAGCATGAGTTTCAAACTGCTGGGTCTGAGACTTGAACCATGGTTGACCATGTGGAAGCCCAGCACCTTAACCACTCCATCAGTTGCTGGCCCCACTACTCTAATTTTTTTTTTTTTTAAGAGAGATTTTTACTATACGACATGTGTGCTCGCCAGAGAGACAGAAAGCAGAAATTACCCCCTAAGAGGAATGGAAAGCCCACAATCCTTTCTCCATTCTCCTCTTAGGGTCTTGGGCATGCATGGACATGTACCCAGTGTGAATTTTAAGCAACTGAGTCCAGGACTTGAACTGCAGTCAACTACATGTAAGTCCAGGGACATAACCATTATGCCAACTGCAGGTTCTCCCACTACTCTCATTTTAAAGTCATTATTATTTGGATTTTCTTTTAGGGAAAAGACATCTAATTTCAATTATTTATCCAATTATCTGGAATGTCAAAATAATATATTTATGGCATTTTACATTTTTTTAGATAATTATTTTTATTTTATTATCATTATTTTTCAATTTTGACCTGAGAGACAGAGAGAAAGAAAGAAAAAGAGAGAGCAAGCTGCCAGGTCTGGGATTTGAACCACGGTTGACCATGTGGGAGTCCAGTGCCTTTAACCACCTTGTCACTTGCCAGCCCCAGCATTTTACATTTCAAGGTGCTTTAATACATAATTTACAAAAAAATTATTTCAGAGGGAAAAAAACTATTATGAAAAGAAGATATTTCATAGGAATTCAGTAAGTATAGTTATGTTTTAATTACCTCTAATACCACAGAATAGAAGCAACTGAGTCCAGGACTTGAACTGCAGTCAACTACATGTAAGTCCAGGGACATAACCATTATGCCAACTGCAGGTTCTCCCACTACTCTCATTTTAAAGTCATTATTATTTGGATTTTCTTTTAGGGAAAAGACATCTAATTTCAATTATTTATCCAATTATCTGGAATGTCAAAATAATATATTTATGGCATTTTACATTTTTTTAGATAATTATTTTTATTTTATTATCATTATTTTTCAATTTTGACCTGAGAGACAGAGAGAAAGAAAGAAAAAGAGAGAGCAAGCTGCCAGGTCTGGGATTTGAACCACGGTTGACCATGTGGGAGTCCAGTGCCTTTAACCACCTTGTCACTTGCCAGCCCCAGCATTTTACATTTCAAGGTGCTTTAATACATAATTTACAAAAAAATTATTTCAGAGGGAAAAAAACTATTATGAAAAGAAGATATTTCATAGGAATTCAGTAAGTATAGTTATGTTTTAATTACCTCTAATACCACAGAATAGATACCTGAGACTTAGAGAACCTAAAATCTATTTTAGTCAGTAATTTAAACTTTTTTTTTTTCACTAAATTACACAGAATTACCAAAAGGTAATTAAGCTGTAGATAGGAGGTTCACCTCATTTTTTCTGTTAACCACACAACTCGCTATTCCAGAGAGACCACGCGAGGGTATCCGGGTGCACGGAGGACTTGCTGAGTCCCATGCCTGTCTCCACCTGTGTGCTCTCACGCCCTTTCAAAAGCCCTAGGCAGTAGGGCAATTTCTTATCCCATTTTATAAATAACACGTTTGACAAGGTAGGGACTGGACCAGAACTGGATGAGAAACCAGGCCTGTCTGATGATGGACAGTGTGAGCTTCAACAGACGACCATACGGGAAAATCGAAAGGACTGCTTAGTGGACCAGTGGGAAATAAGTTTGTTTTAAAATGGAAGAATTAAAACATATTTTCATTTTACCAATGATGGAAATAATGGTAAAATAATTAGATTTTTTTTTTGAGAGATTTTTTTGCTATAGGGTGCGTGCGCTCACCAGACAGACAGAGAGAGATAGACAGACAGAAAGCGAGAAATCACCCCCCAGAGGGGATGGTCACGCTGCAATCCCTTCTCCTCCATTCTCCTCTCAGGATCTTGGGCACGCACGCACACGTGCCCGGCATGAGTTCTAAGCCACCGGGCCCGGGACGCGAACCGCGGTCGACTACGTGGGAGTCCAGCGACATAGCCATTACGCTAACTGCTGGTTCCCAATAATTAGATATTTCTAACATTAAATAAATCAGTGTAATATGTACTATTGAAGTATTTGTTTAATTTTGGACTTGCCAAAATATTACTAGGCCAAGTATTCTGTTATACCATTAGGAGGAAAGCTGTTTATTCAGAACACCAACAAAAGCTTAACAACTTTTACAAATCATATAATAGAAAGATTTCACAAAAACAGACATAATTGGGTTTGGCAGGTGGTGTGGTGGTTAAGGGCAATGGCTTCCCATATGGCCCACCGCGGTTCGAATCCCGGAACGGTTGGCTCACTTTCTCACTTTCCAGCTCTCTCTCTGTCCCTATCTGGTTAAATTAAAATAAAACAGATAGGATAAATAAAGTTAAATAAAATAAATCTTAACAAAGAAAACAAAGAAAACCAGACTTCACCATACCATGAGCCTTGGCCCACTGGAGGTTCCGCACCAGCGACTCTGCAGACTGTGCTGTCCCCTGGATGGGATCGGTCAGGGCTCTCTTTTCAGATAAACTGCTTCGGATTTCCAGAGCCTGTTTGCCTTTGGTAAGGTGACATTTACCCATATCTAAAAGAGAAGAAATCAAATAATATCTTTAAGACCACCAATTCTTCTGTCACGGTCTAAACACTAAGCCCAAGAACTCTACAGACCAGCTTACAGTCTCAATATCATCCGGTCACTCAACTATTTACCTATCATGTGCCAGGCATGGTTCCTGATGCTGGGCATGGAGCATGGAGCAAGTCCATGAAAACACCAGATCAGCTCACTTCGAAAGGTCTTTTTCTAGCTTTTAGCCTTTAAAATTCCATTACAAAACCCCTAACATTCTAAGTCTTGAAATCTACAAAGAGCTGAATATACTTCTTCACTAAAAGAGCAGCCCTGAGTGTCCATACTTTGTTCAGAAATCCATGCAGTTAGTAAGCAAATGGCTACGACCTACGAGAAAGGTTAAACGACCTACCACATTGACTTCAGATTTATTTATTAATTTATTTAAAGCTTATTTATCTCCTCTTTGAGAGAGAAAGACAGGCACCCCCAACGCACATGCAAAATTTACAAAACTTCATTTTGCACTTGGCCCTAAGGAAAACCTCTACAAATTTCAAAGAACAAAAGACAGACGACATTTGATCACAAAGCAATTAAGGTAGAAGTTAAAACCAAAAAGCTAAATGAAAGTTCCTGACATACTGAAGTTTAAAGACCACATTATTATGTGACTTAAAAGTTAAAGAAAAAAAACAAAAGTAGAAACTAAAAAACACCTAACCTTGAAAGATGTGATGAAAATGCTTTCACAGTAAAACCTTAGAAACTTCAGCTGGAAAAGACAGGCTGCAAGTGAATGAGCTATTACTTAATGATGTTAGAAAAAAAGAACCAGTTTAAAAGAAAGCAAGGCAAGATGTAATGCAAGTAACAGAAATTAATAACACAAAAGGGTAAACAAGTAGAGGAAATCAGCAGAGCCCAAGGCTGGTTCTTTGAGCGGAAATAGAGAAATTGAGGGCCAGCAGGTGGCGTGGTAGTTAAGGCGCTGGACTCCCACATGGCTGACTGTGCTTGGAGCCCAAGACCTGGCAACTTGAAAAGCATGCCAAGCACATGTACATGTATGCTGTAAATCCCAGAAGGAGAACGGAGGACAATGGACTGTGGCATGGCCATCCTCCCACGGGGTGATTTCTCACTCTCCTTTTCACTCTCTCTGTTGCCTATGGCAAAAACCTTTAAAAGAAAAAAAAAAAAGGGCCAGCAGATAGTTTTGGGGTTACCTTGCTGGACTTCCACATGGCTGAACATGGTTAGAGGCCCAGACTTGGTGGCTTGAAAATCGTGCCAGGTGTGTGTGCGTGCATGCCCAAGATCCCGGGAAGAGAATGGAGAAGAAGGGACTGTGATGTGGCCATCCTTCTTGGGGAGTTATTTCTCACTTTCTCTCTCATCGTCTCTGTCTCTTTTTCCCTGCCCTGCCCCTGCAAGTGCATGTGCTCTAAGGCAAAAGCCTCTACAAAAAAGAAATGGTGAAACTCACAAAACCTGGCAAGATTAATTAAAGGAAAAAAAGAAAAACAAAGATGAACAAACAAATGTTAGTTATTTTTTAATTATTTATTTATTTATTTATTTATTTTCTGCTATAGGGCGCAAGTACTCACCACCACCATCTCCCGCCGGTGGTATGGCCACTCCACAATCCCCTCTCCTTCATTCTCCTCTTGGGATCTTGGGCACGCATGCACACGCACCCAGCATGAGTTTAAGCCACTGGATCCAGGACTTGAACTGTAGTTAACTATGTGGGAGTCTAGCGATGTAGCCATTACGCCACCTGCTGGTCCCCCTTTTTTATATATCTTATAAAATGGCCTTGCGAAAATGACACAGCTGATGTAACAGGTACTTACTTGGCACCTGACATGGACACGGCATTATAGCAGCAGGCCAGGAAGGCCACTGAGGTGGCGGATGGCCCGGCGTTTGATTTTAAGGATCACATCCTTAAAGCAGGATGTAAAAACAACTAAGTTCATCAAGAAAAGAACAAACTCTGCTTTTCACCAGGGCCTCAAAAATTTCTGTGAAGTTTTCTCTCTAATCCTGGGAGGGACTGCTTGGTGGACAACTATTTTTGCAAACAAGTAGAATGGCAGCACCAGGGCACTGGCACAGAAATGACAGAGAGCTGGGGTTAAAGGTCATCCCTCGAGTGCCTCGGGTTAGCCCTGTATTCTCTGTCCCATGCAGGAGGCAGCAGGAGTCAAGAGGGCAGGAAAGACGGCAGGAAGGAGTTAACAGCGGGAGTATTCTGGACATTGCACTAAGAAATGACTGACATTTTACAAGACACACACTAATACCAAACCCATGGAGTAACAGGGAGGATAAAATAACCCCCACGCAGGAAGTGCTCAGTAAGTCTATCCCCCCCTTCTCTTCTGTGCAAGTAGTTTTCTTTTACCTTCCGCAACTTCATCCAGCAATACTGTAATTTTCTTGTCTTCTAATAATCTGTCTTTTAAAAATTTCATGAAGATGCCATTGGCCAACCCAGAATGCTGGATTTCAAAAGCTTCTGCTCCTTGACACCTTCACAACAGTAAGAGAAAGAAGTGTGGTAAGCCAGGAGCAAAAGGAACCAGGGCAGGTTCTCGCTTGGATGTGGAAGCTGAAACACACACACAGAAGCAGGACTGAATGGGGGTTACCGGAGGCGGGGAGTGGGGGAAATGGGGAGTCAAAGATACGACATGTCAGGAGGAATGAATGATAAGCACGGGGGTGAGGGATATGCTAATTAGCTTGAGTCAACTACTCTATATTATAGATGTATATATATATATTTTTTGAGAGTTTTTTTTTTTTTTTTTTTTTGCTATAGGGCGCGTGCGCTCGCCAGACAGACAGAGAGAGACAGAGAGACAGAAAGCGAGAAATCACCCCCCAGAGGGGCAGGTACTTCTCCTCCATTCTCCTCTCAGGATCTTGGGCACGCACGCACACGCGCCCAGCATGAGTTTTAAGCCACCAGGCCCGGGATGCAAACCGCAGTCAACTACGTGGGAGTCCAGCGACATAGCCATTACGCTAACTGCTGGTTCCCCATTATAGACGTATATTGCAGTAGCACTTTCACCCTGTAAGTATATACGATTTGTCAATATCCAATAAAAAGTAAATTAAAACAAAGAGAAATGTTCTAAAAAAGCGAACACTGGTCAACACCAGGTTTCTGTACCCTCAGTGTCATGGCTGACTGAAGAGTTAATTGGTAGGCGGGAGCTAAGTGCTTCGGTTCTTAGTGCTAAGGTACCAGGACATGAAGTGCTAAGATCAGTTATTTAAAGTTTTCTACCAAAAACATCAAAGAGGGAAATTTATGGCTGCATGTCTATGGATATTTCTAGGCCTCTAATCTGTAATAAAAAAGAAGACATCAAAAAGCAATCTTCAACAGAAACATAAAGTGTCTCACGTGGCATATCCGAACACAATATTGGCGGTGACTTTCAGTGCATCCAAGATTGGAATGGTGTCATCATAGTCATTTCTGAAAGGGGGAAGGGGAGAGAAGGACAGACACAAATATCAAGTTAAAGTATCCTTAAAAGAGTATAAATAAGGGGCCAGCAGGTGGTGTGGTGTCACAGGTGCTGAACTCCCACATAGCTGACTGTGGTTTGAGTGCTGGACCAGGTGGCTTGAGAATCACACCAAATAGCACGTGTGTACATGCCCAAAATTCCAGGAAGAGAACAGAGGAGAGAGGATTGCGGAGTGGCCAACCCCCTGAGGGTGACTTCTCACTTTCCCTCTCACTGTGTTTCTCTGGTGAGCACAGGTGCCCTATGGCAAAAACCTTAAAAAAAAAAAAAACAAAAAAAAACATGAGGGACCAGCAGATAGCGTAACGGTTATGTTGCTGGACTCCCACGCAGTCAACCATGGTTTGAGTCCACCATGGTTCGAGTCCTGGACCTGGTAGCGCAAAACTCACGCCGCGCGTGCGCGCACGTGTGTGTGTGTGTGTCCAAAATCCCAAGAAGAGAATGGAGGAGAAGGGATTGTGGCGTGGCTGGCCTCGCAGGAGGGTGCTTTCTCATTTCCTCTCTCTGTCTCTCTGCCGAGCGCATGTACTCTATAGCAAAAATCTCTCTTAAAAAAAAAGTAATAATAATAATAATACCTTGGAAAAATACTATTAGGTTGTAAGAAAAATGGCATATTTTTCTGTTTTTCTATGCAAAATGCATCATGACTTTCTAACAAACCAGTAACACACAGGGAAATTTCTTTTTTTTTTTGGAGAGGTTTTTGCCATAGGGCGCATACGCTCGCCAGAAAGAGAGAGACAGAGACAGAAAGCAAGAAATCACCCCGCAGGGGGGATGGCCACACTGCAATCCCTTCTCCTCCCTTCTCCTCTTGGGATCTTGGGCACGTACACACACATGCGTGGCGTGAGTTTTAAGTCACTGGGTCCGGAACTCGAACCGTGGTCGACTACATGGGAGTCCAGCGACATAGCCATTACGCTAACTGCTGGTCCCACAAACCAGTATTTGAGTATGTATAATTTAAAAGAACAGATTCAAAATTCTCTCATCTGATTAACTACGCATTTACCAAAAATAAACCAATGTTATAATGTCAAGACAGTAGATACATTTTTTTTTTCTTCTGTTAGTTTTTTTTTTTTTTTTGAGAGATTTTACTTTAAGGTGCATGCGTTAGCTATAGGGTGCATGCGCTCGCCAGGCAGAGAGAGACACAGAGACAGAAAGTGAAAAATCAGCCCCCGGGGGGATGGCCACACCGCAATCCCTTCTCCTCCATTCTCCTCTCGGGATCTTGGGCACACATACACATGCGGCCAGTGTGAGTTTAAGCCACTGGGTCTGGGACTCGAACCACGGTCGACTACATGGGAGTCCAGCGACATAGCCATTAGCTAACTGCTGGTCCCTTTTATGCTGTTAGTTTTAAAATGGAGTAGCATTTGAACTCTGGCATTGGATTTTGACTGGTAAATGCTGAGCAGTAAAAAACGGTAAATTGGGGAGGAATAACTACTGCCTATTCCTTAACAATGCGACAGCAAACAGATGCGATCCAAGCCTTACAAGATCGCTCCGCTGTGCTTTCTGTATACAGGCCAGGATTGCCCAGTGCCCACATGCCCAACGTATGGGTGCTTTCTTAACTCCTGAAGGAATAACTGCAGTGATTACTAGAGACATCTAAAGGCATCTTGAAGAGCTGAATCCTTCGTAGGATGAGGAAGTTCTTTACTTTTGTTCTACAGTAAATAGAGTTCAATTAGATATACACAAGGAAAATGTTTCCCTTTTTTCTGTTTCGGTGTATAATCTAATGTTTGCAAACTCAGATGGTTCTTACACTGCAGATGGACCTGAGGGTTAATTGCCCAGGTTTACACTTAACTCCAACGATTGTAGTAGAGATCAGAAATCTTACCTTTTCCTACACATATCCAACAAGAACACATTGAGTCCCGTTTCTTTTTCTTGCATTAATTTCAGTATATTTTGAACACACAGACAATTTTCAGACCTATATGGATTTGGAGCATCAACAGGGACCATAAAGCTGTTCCCAAAATTTTCATAACCATGTCCTGCATAATATAACAATCCTGAAAAAGAAGGAAGGGGGAAGATATTAACTCTTAATGTACTCTGTACTGATAGGTGGCACACCTAAAAGAAAATGTCTTATTTCTTTCATGTTGGTATAAGCATATTTAGGAAAAGTCCAATTACAGTATAAATATTACAGTCAATGTTGGGGTCAGGGTGGCATGGTGGCTAAGGTGCTGGACTCCTACGTGGCTGACCAGGTTCAAGTTCTGGACTTTGTGGCTTCCTTTCTCACTTTCCCTCTATCTCTCTCTCTGGTGAGTGCACGTGGTTATAGCAAAAAAAAAAATACACGTGTTATTAGAAAAAAAAAAAAAAAAAAAAAAAAGTAATAAATAAAATTACTTAAAAAAAGAATTAAATAAATACAGCTAATGTTAATTTGCATTTAAAATTATGCTGGCAACAGTCCTCACCCAAATCGTGCATTTTTTAAAAACATTTTTGCAGGGACCAGCAGGTGGCATGGTGGTTAAGGGGCTGGACACTCCCACATGGCTGACCAGGGTTCAAGTCCTGAATCTGGTGGCTTGCTTTCTCACTTTCTCTCTCTCTCTCACTCTCCCCCTATCTCTCTCTTTGGTCAAATTAAAAAATAAATGAATGAATAAATAAAATAAATAATTATTAAAAAAAAAAAGAAAAAAAATTTTTCGCCATAGGGCATGTGTGCTTGCTGCAGGGGATGGGAGAGAGAGAGAGAAAGAGAGAAAGAGAAACAGAAACCATCCCCTAGGGGGGATGGTCATGCCACAATTCCAATTCCTTCTCCTTCACTCTCCTCTTGGGATTTTGAGCATGTATGCAAACACATGTGCTTCAAGCCACTGGGTCCAGGACTAGAACCACAAACTCAGCCCTGCGGGATCCAGAACCTTAACCACCATGCTCCTGCTGGTCCTTACATTGTATTTTAAAACAACATCAAGATGTTGTATGAAGCGTATAATGCATATGTAACCAATGGTATAATGTGGAATGCAATTTATCTCATGATGTATGAAAAGAAAAGGTGGCTGAGACTTCTCCACCAATTACTCTGTCTCCTCCATGAGGCTGGGCGCTCCTTCAGGGCAGACACAGTTTTACATTTATCCATGAATTTCTGGCACATAGCAGGAACTTAGTAATTATTTAAGAGATGAACAAATAAACAATTCAGATGAATAGCAACTGCAGTATCAAGTCCAAGGAACTCGGTAGGCATTACCATAATGATTAGTACGGGTTATAAAATCACAAATGTAGATTTATAACCACAGAGGTGAAATCTGATTTCACAGGTTTCTATTTCCCCTTTTTGTTATGAAATATAAATATTAATTTCCCACCTAGAATCTCTTGAATTAGTAATCTAAAATCTGGGTTAGTTTTAAGACTCAATAAAGAAGCCCTATTTCCATACTAAGAAATGATACCATAAAAAACTACTCTAATGCTATATATTTAAGGTTTTGTTTTTTTTTTGCCATAGGGTGTGTGCATTTGCTAGAGTGAGACAGTGAGAGGAAAAGCAAGGACTCACTCCCTCAAGAGGGATGGCCACACTACAGTTTCTTTTCCTCCATTCTCCTCCTGAGATTTTAGGCATGCATGCACATGCATCCGGCGTGATTTTCAAACCACTGAGTTCGGGATTCTATCTGCAGTGGGACATGTGGGAATTCAGTGCCTTAACCACTGTGCCACCTGCTGACCCCTTTAATGAGCTTTTAAAGAGCTTTTTTTTTTTTAAAAGTAGAAACAGTGCACCTTCGACCTCTGGTATTACTAAAAGACAACCAATCAGAAAGCCTGGGGGCTGCTCCCATCATGTCATTTAACACACCTGGCTCTAGCAAGATTTGACTTGAGAGGAGTAGCAATCGAAGGTTTCGTTTCCATTAATCCAGGGAGAAGCTAAGTTTGGTTCCATTATGTCAATTCTATATGCCCAGTCCTGCAACCATTGAAATTAAGGCACTACACTTAAATATTTTTTCTTTTCTTTTTATTTTAAAGAATTATTTTATTTAACTTTATTTATTTACTTATTTTAATTTGAGCAGAGAGTGACAGAGTGAAAGAGATAGACAGACAGACAGACAGGCAAAGTGAGAAAGCAAGCCACCAGGTCCAGGACTCGAACCACAGTCAGCCATGTGGGAGTCCAGAGTCCCTAACCACCACACTCCCTGCCGGCCCCTACACTTAAATACCTTTTCTAAAAAATGGCTTTTGTTACAGGGCACATGCACCCACTGTATGAAGTGGGGAGAGAGGAAAGATGGGGGGGAGAAAGAAGAGATGAGAAGAGAAAGTGAGAAATTCCCCCCGTGGGGTTGGTCATGTTGCAATCCCTTATCCTGCATTTTCCCTGTGGGATATTGGCACACATGCACATGTACCTGGTTTATTTTCCAAGTTGGCAATTCTGGGACTTGAACCACGTACTTGACCATATGGGATCCAACCACCTTAACCACCATGCCACCTCGTTGGCATACACTTAAATACTTTCTCTTTTCCCCAAAATGATTTATGAAAAGTCTAATAGGCATTTTATATCAATGTCTGCAACCAAATTATAGTGAGGCGGATTAAGTATTTTCATACATGATAAACCAGTCCACCTCACTGTATTTTTGTAATTCCACTGCTTGTGCTGCTTATTCATTTAATTTAAATCTTATTACTAGGGGCAGAGGATAATACAGTTACCTTTATAAGTGTTAACAATGTAGGGGCCAGTAGGTGGTGTGGTGGTTAAGGTGCTGGGCCCCCACATGGCCGACCCTGGTTCAAGTTCCAGACCTGGTGGCTTGCTTTCTCACTTCGCTCCCACCCTGCATGTGTCCTTCAACAAATAAAAATAAATAAATAAAATTAAATAAAACAATTCTTTGGAAAAAAAGAACAATGTGGTTGGAAGTACAATTCTGAAAATTAGATCTTTCAGGAATTTTACTTCTCAGGAACAGAATTTCTAAGAATACAGTTTGTCACAGACACTTATTTTGGCCTACAGAGAAAATAATTTAAATGGAGCCAGCCTTGTGGCCTAGTGGTTAAGGGAGCTGGATTCCATGGGGCTGAGTTCATGGTTCGAATCCTAGTTGAGGCAGCTGGAAAAACATGGTGGGCACATGTGTGTGCCATGCTCAAAATCCCAACAGCACAGAGAAATGGAGAAGGGATTGTTGTATGACCATATGCCCCATTGGAGAGTACCTTCTCCACCTCTGCCTCTCTCGGTTTCTCTGGTGGGCACATGTGCTCTCTGGCAAATTAAAACCAAGGTAACTGAGATGGAAAACTTTCCCACTGGAGTGAATTTGCATCCCACCAAGCACCGTTCTCTGATGAGAACCCTGACCAGCAGTATGGAGGCAGCACTGACTATGCAGCAGGCACTGGGCCAAGTGCTGCAAGTTACATCACCTCATGTGATCCTCACACCGTGGTAGGAAAGGGCCTTCCTCCCCCTCTTACAGATGGAAAACCTAAGATACCGAGAGGTTGACACATTTACCAAACTAAACCAACCGGTAAGTGACAAAACCAGAATTAACCTGCCTGGCTGCAGGCCAGCCTAACCATGAGCTAGAGTGTCTCTTTACCCCACTGCTGGCTTCTCTCAGAAAATATTAAATGGTCAGTGTATTAGTTTTTCATTGTTTTATGCACTAAAATTTGAAAACAAGACAAAACAAATCCTCTTTTTTTCCAAAAGAAACCTTAGGGAGACTCTTCACACCTACAAACTGATAGAAGCTGAGGCTGGTAGGTGGTGTGGGGGTTAAGGACACTGGACTCCTACATGGCTGACCGTGGTATGAGTCCAGGTCCTGGCAGCTTGCTTTCTCACTTTCTCTCTCTCGCTTTGTCCCTCTCTGGTCTAAAGGAAGGAAAGAAGAAATGAAGGAAGGGAAGGAGGGAGGGAGGGAGGGGAAGGGAAGGGAAGGGAAGGGGAGGGAAGGGAGGGGAAGGGAAAGGAAGGGAAGGGAAGAGAAGGCAAGGGAGGGGAAGAGAAGGGAAAGGAAGGGAAGGGAAGGGAAGGGAAGGGGGGAAGGGAGGAAGGGAAGAAAGGAAGAAGGGAGGAAGGGAGGAAGAGAGGAAAGAATGAAAGAAAGAAAGTTAGTTAAATAAAATAATTCTTAAAAAAAATGATGGAAGTGCAGATTCTCTAATTGAGGCCTGATGTTTTACTACTACTTGGTCACAAAGCTTTACTGTATTCTATAACTCATGGTCAGTAACGAAACCATGGAAGACAGCAAAAGAATTCTAATAAGAACAATGTAATTTCCTTTTTGTCTTTTAAAAGAATTATTTTATTCAACTTTATTTATTTATTTAAATTCGACCAGAGAGGGACAGAGAGAGAGAGAGAGAGAGAGAAAGAAAGTGAGAAAGCAAGCCATCAAGTCTGGGATGTGAACCGCAGTCAGCCATGTCGGAGTCCAGAGCCCTTAACCAACATCATGTCACCTGCCAAGCGCAATGTTATTTTCTTGAAAAAACAAAAACATGAAAGATAATAAGCTAAGCAGTTATTCAAATGGAATGAATATCACGCCTTTTTTTTTTTTTTTTTTTAAGAATGAAACTGTTCAAGAGGCCAGCAGATGGTGTAGTGGTTAAGGTGCTGGATTCCCACATGCCCGAGTACAGTGAGAGTCCTAGACCTGGTGGCTTGAAAATCACACGGCATGCATGTCCAAAATCCCAAGAGAGGATGGGAGAAGGGATTGCGGCGTGGCCATCCCCTCAGGGGATGATTTCTCATTTTCTCTCTTTCTGTCACTGTCTCTCACTGGCAAGTGGAATGCATACCCCTATGACAAAAACCTAACAATAAAAAAAAAAAAAAAAAAAAAACAACTATTCAACTCAGCAGTATGTTAACCTTACCTTTATGTGATTTTCACCTCTTACCTAACTTGTACGATGAAAAGAACAGCAAGAAATTCTTAAAACAAAGGTTGTAAGTAACTCACCATATACTCCTTTGTCCAAAAGGAGTAAAAATTCGTCCACAGCATTACGCATCTCATATTCTGTAAGATCCAACAGGGAAACGACCTTGAAATCTAGCTGTCTCAGTAGGTTGGTCAATTCATACACGTCCACCAAAGGAGCTTTAAGCTTGGGATGCTCCCAATAATTCATATTTCCTATCAAAAGAGCAACCTTGTCCTTGGCTGCAAAAAAGGGGGAGGGATTTAAAGGAGGATATAAAGATTAACAATGAAACCCAAGAAAAAGGTGCTATTATAATAAAAAAAGATTTAAAATCACATCATTTCATTTCAAGTAAGACTTCGTTATTACTTTATATCATTTTAGAACTACTTAAGTAACAGATCAATCTTCTCTGGGAACACAAGATGCTAAAATATCAAACAACTGCAATCAAACCTATTGATACGTCTCAGAACCAGGCAACAGATATTTATTGACTGTACATGAAACATAATCATAACTAATATTATACTTTCATGGAATTATAATAAAAATAAACATATTCAACTGGACTTTTAGAGCAAAATTTTAAAGTTGGGTTCCTGTTACATTATGCTGTTTTGTTAAACATGGAAGAGATTAAAAATAAGAGAAATACTTCAAAGAGAGTCAGAAAGAAATTCCATCAGCACAAGCAAGGGGAAATACGGAAGAAGGGAGAAAAGCAGGGTTGTCACAGTGCTGTGTTCTGTTTCTGCAGAAGCCACGGGGATACATAGTCTTCACTTCCTTTAAAAATCTGTACCATTTGACTGAGATGAGGCTACTTTAGGTATACATGAGGACTTTCTGTATGAGTGTCTTATTAGTTCATTTTCTGAGCTTGGTTTATTCAGACTTTTTAAAATATTTTTAAAAAGAATGATTTATCATTAGTTTTTCTTTTTTGGAGAGATTTTTGCTATAGGGCAATGTGCACTAGCTGGAGAGACACAGAGACAGAAAGCAAAAAATCTCCTCCAGGGGGGTATGGCCACGCTGTGATCCTTTCTTCTCTATTCTCTTCTTGGGATCTTGGGCATGCATGCATATGCACATGCGCCTGGCCTGAGTTTTAAGCCACCAGGTCTGGGACTTAACCACAGTTGACTGTGGGAGTCCAGAGATGTAACCATTATGTCATCTGCTGGTCCCAATTTATTATTAGTTTTTAATTTGATCAGAAAAAAAGAGAGCGAGAACGAGAGCCAGAGAGAGGGGAAAAGTGAGAGGGCAACCGTCAGGTCTGGGATTCGAACTATATCGGCCATGTGAGAGTCCAGCACCTTAACCACCACACCACCTGCCGGCTCAATGTACTGAGCCTTTGCTCAAAAATACATTAATGTGTTCTGCTAAGAGTCACTACATCATCTGCTGGCTCCACAAATTGCCCATTCTTAGGTATATACACATTTGGGATAAAAATAAAATGATGTTTAAATCATATTTCAAAGTCAATAAAAGTGATTTCAAATCCTATACAAATGACATCTCTTACCCAGAAGAAAAGGCTAACTATCATGACTATAATAGTATATGAAGAAATTCCAACTTAATGCTTTTACTAAATTGCCTTGAATTATAAAACTCAACAAAAGAGCTGAGATTACTTAGGATGAATTTCAATAGGAGGCAGTATAAAACTTAGTATCTGGGCCAGCTACAGGCATGGTGGTAAAGGCAGCTGGATTCCACATTGCCAACTATATGGTTCAAGTCCCAGACTCAGCAGCTTGAGAAACACGTGGGACATAAGTGCATGTTTGCCCAGAATTCTGAGAGGAGAGAGAAATGGAGATTTGAGGCTCAGCCATCCCCCACGGAACAGCATTTTCCCACTCTGCCTCCCACCTCTAGCGAGTGCACATGCTTTCTGGCAAATTTTAAAAAACAAAACAAAGAAACACAAACTTAACATTACTTGTACTTCCTTTTTTATTTTGGGGGGTTTCTTCTTAAGTAAACAAGTTTACTCCTACATGACAGTATCCACCACGGTAAGACTATTAACTAGCTAATCCGCAGAAAGAAAATCTTCAGTGTGTTTTTCTTTCTTTTTTCGAGTCCATCAACCCTATTAGAATTGAGATCCAACCTCCATGCGGTGACAGACTGAGCTAAATCTTCTAAGTGAGTGGAAAGAGAGTGTGTTGTCTCCAGTTTATATCAGCATAGCTCAAATTACGGATTTAGAGCAAGAAGCTACCAGTGTTATTCAGGTAGTGAAGTGCTTGTAAGTCATTGTGGGTTTTTTTGTGCAGCATAATTTAATTAGATATGTCCTAGACTGAGTTCTAGTGACTAGTTCCTAAGATGTCTCAGAGCATTTTCTTGAAATTAACGACATGAAGATGATGGCTAAGCAAATCTTACCTTGTCCAATCTACCTGCAAAGCTGTCTCTGGCTGTCAGGAGAACTGGGGTGGACTTAGAACAGAGAGGCAGACAGCTGTGGCCGAGATCAGAGAGGACTGAGACTCACGCCCAGGAAGAAGTTGTAGAACGGGAGAGGAAAAGGCAACTTTAGAGGTACGACGTAGAAAGGAACAGCAAAACTTCAACTTGAGATAAGAGGGAAAAGTAAAGAAAACTTCAAAACACCAACTATACAAGCAATTTATGATGGCTTTCAAGTGATAAAATAAATGGAAGAAATTTTCTGTAGAAACTCATTTACTGGAAAAGTCACCCACAACTTGAACACAAACCATTTACTGGAAAAAGGAAAAAAAAAAAAAATGCCAGCCGATTAAGTAGGAAAATAATCAAACTGCTACAGAAAGATATTTTCACTACACAATCTTAGACATCTCTCCAAACGTAATAATGCATTATATTTTTCAAAAATTGGTAGTGTTCTATCATTAATTCCATGTCCAATAACAACACTATTGTTTTTTATACAAAATGATATAATATTCATAAGCTCCTAGAAATAGGTTTGGCATATATTCATACTACTAAATATTATATAAAAAGTCTCTGGATGATTATCACTCATTGAGTATTACTGGGCTGGCCCTGAAGCCTTGTAATTGAGGGAGCCAGATCCCATATGGCGAACCAGGGTTCAAGTTCTGGCTCTGGTGGCTTGAAAAACATGCCAGGTGTGGAACCAGCAGTTAGTGTAATGGCTATGTCACTGGACTCCCACATAGCTGACCGTGGTTCGCGTCCCAGACCCGGTGGCTTAAAATTCACGCCAGGCGCGTGTGCATGTGTGCTCAAGATCCTGAGAGGAGAATGGAGGAGAAGGGATTGCGGCGTGGCCATCCCCCCCTGGGGGGTGATTTCTCGTTTTCTGTCTCTCTGTATCTCTCTGTCTGGCAAGCGGACGTGCCCTATAGCAAAAACCTCTCAAAAAAAAAAAAACATGCCAGGTGCATGTGTATGTATGCCCCAAATCTCAATGAGATGGAGAAATAAAGAAGGTATTGTAGAGTAGCCATGCCCCATTTGGGGGTGCTTTCCCTCTTCTCTTTCTGTCTCTCCTCCTCTCTCTGGCAAGTGTACATGCCCTCTGGAAATTAAAAAAAATTGAGTATTAGCATCACATCTGGCTGTTTGAATACGGTCCTTGTTATTCTGATGCGTTACATTTTTAATGACTCTCCAAGTTCTTTAACATTAAGTCCAAGTTCCTTAGTTCGGCACAGTAGACCATTCACATTTCACATTTGAATCTGTGCCTGCATTTCCAGCGGTGGCATCAGATGGCTTCCAGTGAACCCTGGTATCCTTGTCCTTGTGTACTGTAGTCACCCCACCTGGGCATTCAGGATGCCCTGTGAGTTCTTCCAGCAACAAAATGCGGTGTGACCATCTGCTAGTTATGGGTCTAGTCCTCAAGAAGTCCTGACAGCTTCTATTTTTGGGGATTCAGCCACACAGCTACAGAGTGAAACCACTAAAGAATGGAGAAGTAACTGAGAGGGAAGACAGAGACGGAGAGGGAAAGGACATGGCAGGAGGAGGTGGCAGAGAGAGAGCCCCCATCTTCGCGGTCTTTTGTCAATCCCCACTCGGTGCCAGGTATGTGAGTGAACCACTGCTATGGTTTGAATGTGTCCCCCCACATCCGTGTGATAATGTGGTTATAAGGAGAATTAAAGGGTGAAAACTTAATGTGACTGTAAGACTAGGGTGGGGCACCCAGAAATGAATCACATGGGGTTAGGAGAGGAGTAAGTGAAGCAGACACTAGCATGCTCTGATTACTGCTAGAGCTCTCGCCATGTGAGTGCCTGGGCTTCCCTGGATCCCACCAACAAGAACACCATCACCAGATGTAGCCCTTGACCCTGGCCCTCCAAAACAGTGAGCTAATAAACCTCTATTCTATGTGAACTACCCAGGCTGGGGGTATTTCTGTTATTAGCAACACGATGGACTAAAATAGTCACTTTGGAGGTTGCAGTCCCAGTCACCATCTGACTGCAATCATGTGAGAGACCCTAAGAGGGACCAGCAGAAAAACC